GGAAAAAAAGAGTGTTATGGAATCCTCCATATAGTGAGACACACCCAGGGAGAAACTATTAGCGTACAAGAGTCAGGGCTTGAGTCTTCCCTGGCTGTCCAGTGGTTAGGACTCTGCAGGGGCCACGGGTTTCATCCCTGGTCAGAGAACTAAGATCCTACATGCCCCACAATTGCGGCTGCAAAGTTCAGGTGCCGCTTTCTTTACAAGATGTGAAGAGTCTGGGGCGTTACTGATGTTATGGGTAAATGATTACATTTTGTTTTGTTTTAAAAAAAAAAAGCAAACAGCACTTTCCTTATAGTAAAACATACAATGTGTTGGTTCTATTACTAACTGGGCTGATGTAGATGAAGACACTATGTTAAATGAGCTCTGGGCGTCATCAAAGTCTTAGGTGTGGCAGCAGTACATGTGACTCCTTAGTGGTCAAACTTTTCTGGAGGAAATAAATTTTCCTCAGTTCTGGCTGGAATCAAAGCATATTATCCATCTAAAACTTAATTATGTAGTTTGACATAGGCAAGGAGAATACTGCTGAGAACCTGGCAATAAGCAAAAATACCATCTTGAAATGGTCTAAAATGACATCTCAAAGTCCTTTCACTTAGGTTTGTATATACTCTCCTTAAAGGAAAGCCTTTAGGGCCCTTTTAGTGGGACGTTTCCTGCCATATTTCCTTTCTTTTTTTTAATTAATTTATATATATTTTAACTGTAGGATAATTATTTTACAATATATGGTGGGTTTTGCCATACATCAACATGAATGTGTTTCCTATTTTAAGTTATTTCATTACCAGTACCTCTTGCCTTTGTACTGCCTTTATTTTGGCTCATCCCATTAGCTTAGACCTCCTTCACAGATCACTGCCTTGTTGTGGTGAAGGGACTTGCATAACTCAATGAAGCTATGAGCCATGTAGCTATGCAGCCATGTTGTGTTGTTGTGTATGACCCAAGACAGATGGGTCATAGCGGAGAGTTCTGACAAAATGTGATCCACTGGAGGAGGAAATGGCAAACTACTCCAGTATACTTGCTGTGAGACCTCAGGAACTGTGTAAAAGGACAAAAAGATATGACACTGAAAGATGAGTCCCCAGGTCTGAAGGTGTCCAATATGCTACTGTGGAAGAGCAGAGGAGAGCTACTAATAGCCTCAGAAAGAATGAAGCAGCTGGGCCAAAGTGGAAACAATGCTCAGTTGTGGATGTGTCTGGTGATGAAAGCAAAATCTGATGCTGCAAAGAACAGTATTGCATAAGAACCTGGAATATTAGGTCCATGAATCAAAGTAAATTGGATGTGGTCAAGCAGGAGATGGTAAGAATAAACATCGACATCTTAGGAATCAGTGAACTAAGTGGACCAGAATGGGTGAATTTAATTCAGATGACCATTATATCTACTACTGTGGGCAAGAATCCCATAGATGAAATGGAATAGCCCTCATAATCAACAAAAGAGTCCAAAAGGCAGTACTTCACACAACCTCAAAAATGACAGAATGATCTCAGTTCATTTCCAAGGCAAGCCATTCAACATCACAGTAATCCAAGTCTATATCCCTACCATCTATGCCAAAGAAGCTGAAGTTGATCAGTTCTACAAAGACCTAGGAGACCTCCTAGAACTAACACCAAAAAAAAAAAAAAGATGTTCTATTCATCATTGGGTATTGGAATGCAAAAGTACGAAGTCAAGAGATACCTGGAGTAACAGGCAAATTTGGCCTTGGAGACAAAATGAAGCAGGGCAAAGGCTAACTGAATTCTGCCAAGAGAATGCAATACTGTGGATCCAAAAAAGACTGCAATAGGAAATGGACTTATTGTCTCATGACAGCTCCTAAGAGTAATAAGCATGTGCCAAAAGCAAGACTGACAATGACATGAACAGGAGGGCCACACATAGCAGGGTGACAAAACTTCTGCAACCTGTCACCTTTAAAAAGAAACACATATGATTTAGACTTAGATTTGCCAGACCCTCAACAATGATCATCTTAAGACTTAAGTTCCTAATTAGAACAATGAGCTGTGCTGACCTATTTCTATTCATGGACTGAATGCACCAAGGAATCAAATGGTTTGAGTTCTACACTTGGCTTCTAATGCCATCTCTAGCTGTCACAGATAAAATATGTTCTGGGTTGTTGTTTTTTTTTCCTTCTGTAACTTGCTGACAAAGTCATCATATCCTGACTCCAAGGGCATATTGGTTACAGTAGTTAGGCTGCTATAAATATATTTTTTAAATCCCAAAAGTCAGTAGCTTAAAATATGAGAAGTTTATTTCTTGGCCAGGTAACCATTCAAGGCAAGTACTGAAGATTCCTTAGGAGAGATTCCTCTGAGAGATTAGCCTAGGGCAATGTCCTCTGCATAGCTGACTCTGGTTCCAACCAGTGGAAGAGGAGCAGGGTAGAATCAACTCTGTCTTCAGTGTCGCATCCTAGGAGGGGCACGAGTGGCTCCCCCTCTATTCCATCAATTGCCTAGAATCAAATTATATCTTTAATCTAACTGCAAGGGTCATGTGGAAATGGTGGTCTAGCCATGTTCCTCAAAAAAAATCAGATTTGGAGAGACAGCACTTGGTCTATTCCACAATTTTCCATCACTATCCCAAATGATGAGGTTTTATTCTGATTAAACACTAAATTGAGGCACAGTGTAGTTAAGTCATTTTCCCAAGGTCACACAACTAGCAAATGGCCAAGTTAGAAATTGAACCCAGGGGACTTCCCTCAGTGGCTGAGATTCTGAGATCCCAAAGCAGGGGACCTGAATCCAATCCCTGTCAGGGAACTAGATCCCATATGCCACAACTAAGACCCAGAGCAGCCAATTAAATAAAAAAAAAATTTAAAAAGAGAGAAAGATAGCCTGGGGATATGGTCTTTGAAAAAAAGAAAGAAACTGGGAGCCCAGAGTCTATATTTAAAACCACTCCAATATATTTCTAATACGTTTGATTCTCTTACAAATTACTTTGCAATTTTTTAAATAACAATGTTTCCTCTTATTTCAAAAGGATGCAGCATAGCTATAGAGGGTTTCCTATGAACAAACTGCAGGGCTCCTCTTCATCCCCTCTTCAGTTTCAGAGAGGTGTAGAAGCAGCCTGGGTATGCCACACATGGAAGTACTTAAGGCGCTGCACAGTGGGGCTCTGCCCAGGGGATTCAATAAGGGCAATGCAATGCCACATGGGTTAGGAACAGCCTTCAGAGCCTTTCCTAAGTTCAGTGCTGCAGGCAGCCCTGCGCTCCCCACATCCCAGCTCCTGACCTCTCCTGAAGACACATGGGCTATGCACTGCGGATTAGGAGGCTGATGCCTATATCCCCAGACTGCTCTGGTCCACTGGAGGCAGCAGGCCTCTTCTGCTGTAAGCCCTCTGCCTGGAGAAGGCGTCCTTATGCACTGGATAAGAAAACCGGGCAACACCCTTGCCTTGGCCTCTTAGAACCTGCAGTGCCTAGACCAGAAAATGCCCAGTTCTTCAGATGCATGGGCAGCAGACAAGAAAACATGTGTTATTCCCAGGCAATAATCCTAGGAGGAAGGTACTGGGTTGTTTGTTTGTTTGCTTGTTTTCGCTTTTTATTTAAGTATAGTTGACTTACAATAAATATTATGCCAGTTTCAGGTTTACAACAAATGACTCAGCATTTTTATAGATTATACTCCCTATATACTTATTATAAAATATTGGCTATATTCCCCGTGCTATGCATTACATCCCTGTGACTTATTTTATACCTCTTAATCCTCTTCACCTGTTTTGCCCCTCCCCCTCAGAAGGTATTATTACTCGCATTCTACAGATGCAAACAGTGAAGCACAGAAAAATGAAGTCCTTGCCCCAAGGTCACACAGTAACAGGAGCGGTTCAGCCCAACCAAGTCTGGCTCCAGAGACAAGGAGTCTGCAAGCACATCCTCTTCGCATCTGCAGGAGGTGGCACAACTCTTTTAGTGTGTGATGAGGGGTGGGCGTGGGCGGGGGTGGAGAAAAAGGAATCCGAGTACCCAAAAGGATACTTTAAGTTTCAAAGGTCCCTTCCAAGTTGTTTTCCTGTTTGGTGCTGCTGGGGGAAGAGGGGGACGCTTTAACCACTGAATAGACAATACAGTGAATCGAAACTGAATTAAAGTCTCAGATCAGTAAGGCAGAAGGCGAAATTGGCTCTGTAAGTTTCAGAAGCAAGCTATAACTGACAACCCCCGCATGAGCTTCGGAGGGTGACCATCGAGTTTGGGCACGCACATAGGGAGGGGTTCACCTCCGCCCCTCTTATGGGAAGAGTTGCCCTTTCAACCAGACAGGCAGCAGCCAACCGTGGCTGGGCACCGCAGAGGGTAGACAGTTCTAGAATGAATGGAGCTCTCCCCAGCCAGCCCCGCCTGCAGCCCGCGAGCGCCCGCACCTGAGCTCGCCCGGCTCTATCATTCCCTGCGGCGTCCGCGGTACCGAGCCCCGGGCAGAGGGCAGGGCATGTCAGAGACTGTTTTCCTTTCAGCTTCAAGACTAAACCTTGTTGAAGACCATCTGTTTGAACAGCTCTTATCATGCCACGCAGCTGCAGCTGAAAGTGAAGGTCCCAGTGTTCTGAGCTGGGGATGGGAGTTGGGGAGGGCGGTGGGGATGAGGGGTGACTTACTCCATCAGCGCGCACGGCCCGCCTGCCGGGCCTGAGATCTGAAGCTTGTAGCCGCGGAAGGAGGACGCGTCCCTCTCGCCCACTGACATTTGCCCGCCTTGCCGAGTGTCCGGGCCTGGCAGCGCCTCCGAGCCCGGGGAACCCTTCGCCCATTGTGGGCGCCCTGGTCGGATCCGGAAACCCCGCTTTCTCTCTCTTTGCCTTAACCGCCGAATAGGCAATAAAGCGACAGGAGCTTGGATCTGGCTAAGGAAGACCTAGAAGGTAGTCCGGGAAATTTGTCTGAAAGTTCTAGAAAAAAGCACGCTGAACTGAGCACCCGGCGCCAGCACGCAGCGGGTCGCGGCCGCGAACGCCGAGCGTCCGCTCGCTCGGGCCTCGCCAGGCCCTTCGGGTTTACCCACTAGAGCAAGGGGCTCAGGTGCGCAAACTCGGCAGCGAGGAGCTGGGGTTCGCGGGCGAGGAGGGAGGGAGCGCCCCCCTTCCCCTGGCGCCCCCTATGGGGACCCTCGAGTGTGTTCCGGGGGTCTCCCTAGTCCGCTGGGGCCCCTCCGGGCAGGGCCGGCGCAGCGCTAGGCTCCCGGAGAAGCTCCGTCCAGTCCACCCCTGGCGCCGCCGCCTCGGAGCCCCTGCCCGGGACCCCCAGGCCTGAAACTCGGCCTCGGGTGACAGCGGCCTTGCCTCTGTGGCCCGGACCTGCAGTTCGAGTCCCGACGCCGCTACGTTTCCTGAGGCCAAAAAAAAAAAGTCTCTCGAAGCCTTGGTTTCCGCGATGTGGATAATTGTGTCCCGACCTCATAAGACGGTTCCCAGGGCTCAGTCCTTGGCAGAACTCCTGGCGATCCCGAAACGCTCAAGAAATAAATGCTGGCCATCACTACTAATCATGGCAATACGTGTTGTTTTTTTTTTCCACGAGAGTGTAAGGTCCTAGGGGACAGGCGCTCCCAACAGCTGGCAAGGTGGCCGGCATGGTGAGCGGTCAGCGGGGCTGGCTGGCTCGTGGGGAAGGCCGGGGCGGGAGACGTGAGGCGAGGGGCCGCCAAAGGTGCGGAAACGCCAGAGTCCGTGGGTGAAGACTGGGGAGGGGAGGAGAGGGTGCTTGGGGCTGCCAGGGCAGGCGACCCGAAGGCCGTCTACTCTCTGCACGGACCCTGGGCCCCACGCGCTGTCCCCGAAGAATTTTCCAGAGGGTTTTTTCCTTCCCGTCAGAGTGTGTCTCCTATGTCCTCTCCTCGAATCTATGCAAGGGAGACAAAAAATATGTGGGATTCAAGAACTCTGATCCCTGCTGCCTACAGACCGGAGGGGCTGGGAGGGGCTGGCCACACCACGAGTCCCCCCGAGGCCTCACTACGGGCTGGGGGCAGGGGTGGGGGTTCAACCAGGTTGAGGACACTAGTGAAGCTCAAAGACTGAGCGAGGCTTGTGCCCCAGAAGATGCAACGGGCAGTGGGGCAAGGATAAGAGCACGGCCAGGCTGGTCCTGGAAAGATGGAGATGAGAGGTTCCCATGAACCAAACCCTCTCCCCAGGTCTGTGACTTCTAGAACGAATTCCCAGAAGACCTGAAATTGCAGGACCCTAGAGGTAATACTTTGGGAACAAAAACACGAAAGAATGCCTCTCGGACCAACGGCCCGGAAATCCGTGTCCCTGGGACCCTCGACGGCAGAGTGGGGACAGAGGGCAGTCTAGCAACAGCGCGTGTGACCCCGAGCGAGGCAGGCGAATGACAGTGAGACCTTCCTGGCTGCGCACGAATGGCCCTCGGGCTCCCACCCTCTGCCGGCAGGGGTCATCCTCTCCCCTAGGGCACCCCTCGGAGCTGGCTTTCTGTGTAGTGGCGGAGGCCCAGTGGTCCCGCAGACACGATGCGCCGAGCTAGGGGACGCCCTGGACTCCTGACCCAGGCTGGCGGTGGGGCAGGAACCGAAAGCTAGGCGCGGCAGACCTGTTCAAAGAGCCGCTCGCTTTCTTCCGGAGATCGGCAGCTGTTCAACCGAGGCTTACAGTAAATACCCTGCGGTTTACACTATGGCAACAGAGAAAGGAGGTGTACTTAACTCAAAGGAAGTCGTTTCTACCCTGGAGCCTCAGTGTTCCTGTGTACAACGGGAACGATGATTACGTCCTTGTCTGCAAGGGTTGTCACAAGGCTCCCAAGGAAGGAGACGGTGAGAGTCAGTAACCAGATAAAGTGCCGTGGGGACAGCCTGGTGGGCCTGGAATCCAAAGCAGAACGGTCTCAGCGATGATGTGGAACATACAAGACCAGAACAGAGACACTGAGCCCCCTCCTTCCCCCATCCTTCGCTAGAAAACTGAAAGCAGAAAACGGGAAGGAGGGTGCCTTGAGGTGGAGGAGGAATTTTGGCCGCAAGAAGACATGTCTAATTACCCCAAACTCAGTCTGAGCCCCACTAAACTCCTCTCCAGTCATTATGGAGAGAGGCATGCCCCTACTCTGAACTGCTGAAGAAAATGTCAGTTCTCTACTGCAATGCCTCCCTGACTTTAGACCAAAGGGAAGAAAGCACTTGGATATTGTGATGCAGGGATCAGATAATTTAGGTAAACCCAGATTTGTGCCTGGATTATCAGAATTAACATCTCAGGTCTTTACTTGATTCTCCAAATGCAGTTTAAAATTCTGAGTCAGTCTCCCTCTCTCTCTTTGCTCATTGCCTCTGGTCTTTTCTCCCACACACACAAGTCCCTTGTTTTCCAGTTAAAGGGGAACTGGGGTCATATTTCCTTCCAGGAAGATGCCATTTTCCAGATCTCAGCTGGCCTAGACTTCATGCCATTAATGCAGGTTCTCACGGGTAATAAAATCAACACACTTGCCACCATGAAAAAGTCTGGTGGGAACAAAGGAACTGAGAGAGTCAAGACTATGGAAATTGGATCTTTTGTGTTTCATTTTCAATAGGAAAACAAGTTTCTACCTTGGGTCAAAACAGCTACCACTGTGATGACAGACAGATTCGTCATGTGGTATGAAGACACCAAAACGCAATCTTCATTACCTATCAAGAGGTTAGGTTGTGACTGGAGCCCGCAAAGCAGCAAGTTGCACCGCAGTGGTGAGCCCCATCTCCCAGGGCTTTCTAAACCTGCTCACCCTTCTCCATCTAGGGGCCTTTTGTAACCAAAAGGACGGCTGGGGATTAAATCCAGGCAGATTTGAAGGCGGATTACCTTCCTCACTATTCCGCGGAGAGTGAGCTCTGTGGATGCTGGAGTTTTAATTACACACTTGCTTTTTCTGAGGAAGAAAACCAAAGATATTTTTCAAAGTATCAACTTGTTTTCCATTAGGCAGTTGTTGTAACAAGTTCTTTCAGCGACCTGTTATGTCTTTAGGACGGGGTGCTTCAGATGGCACGCACTGGCACAATTTTGTGGCTTTTAATTACTATTTTGTTCTTTTGGGGGGTTTCAGAGGCTGGCGCCTCGGCGTCATTAGACTGTCTACTGGGTGCGCCGCAATCACGATCACCTCCACCAGGTGGCGCCACAAGGCAGGAACTGCGGAGTCCAGTGCAGGCGAGTGTCCCTCAACACCGGGCCATGGTTTCCAACCACGAGGAAACAGACACGGAAGAAGTCGCTACCAGATTTAAAAGAAAAATAAATTGCAGCGATAGGGTCAAATAGGATCCTGAGATGAAAATAACTTTAAAAAGTCCTAAGTACATGAGATAAAACTTTTGTGTTTCCGTAAGTTTACCAAGATTTGTAATATCAAGACAACAGTCGCACCAAAGTATTATCCCATTTCTTTATGGAATTTAGAGTTACAATGAACTTGAAAGGCCATGTGATCAGTCTGGTCTAGCTCTCCAACCTAGAGAGGAAACCACCGGGATCATGTTTTGGTTGTCAATTAGCCATCAAATACACGTAATTACTCAGTCTCACTGTGTCAGAAAAGTATAAAGGGAAAATGGTTTCAAATATATCATTAGCAATAATATCTTTGAATTTATATAGCTTTTCTCTCAAGGAACAAAGAAAATAGTTTAAATATTACCGTATTAATTGTCTTAATATCCCTCTGGGTTGGTTAGGAAGCAGGTATTATGGTTAATTTAAATCAGTTTGCTATGTCAAGTGTCCAGGGGCTGACAACCGTAAATGTCAGACCCTTCGAGGAAAAGCGGAGCTGGAACTGGCCGAGGTCTCAGGATCGCTTTATTTCGATTAATATTTGAATGCTGACCTCGGACATGAAAGTAGGAGTCACTGGCATTGGTCGACACTTGTATACAGAATGGGACGGAAGACCCCATTTCTTCTTCCTCAGAGGCGAAATGACCGTCTCCGCCTTCACGCCCTCTGTTCTCCTGCCGTCGGCCACCTTGACTCCCCACCGTCCCCCGCCCTCCAGCCTCTCCGCTCACTTTAGGCAGCAGCCAGTCTGCACCCATGACCGCAGGAGCCGCAGCGCCCGCCCTGTGACACCGCCCCCCAACCCCCCACTCCGGTCCGGCGTTCCAGGGCGCCAGAAGCCGTGCGGCCGGGAGCCTCGGATTGGCCGTTGCTAGGTGACGTCGCCTGAGCTCACGTGATGAGTGTTAAATGCCCACCCTGCAGGAGCCCGCCCCACAGACAACCGTAAAGCCGCTCAGGGCTGCTCACCTGCTCCCACCTCCTCCCGGAGCCCAGGCCAGGCCCCGCCACCCCTGCCCCCTCCACTGCCCGCCCCCGGCCCGAGCCCGCGCAGGGCGAGGAGCCGAGCAGCCCGAGAGGCGGAGAGAGGATGCGGCCGGCGGCAGCTGTCCCGATCAGTGCACGGTGATCGCCTCCCCCGGAGGAGGAGTTGCCTAGACCGTAGCTACTTTTCTTGTTTTCCTCCCCCCCCCCCCGTAATTACATTGGCTGCTGGAGGGGACAGGGAGAGACGGAGGAGGCGCCTCGCTACCCACCTCGCGCCCGCCACCCCTGCTCTTTGCCGTCCCGGGCCAGGATGACTGGAGTCTTTGACAGTCTGGTGGCTGATATGCACTCGACCCAGATCACGGCCTCCAGCACGTACCACCAGCACCAGCAGCCCCCGAGCGGCGGCGGCGCTGGCCCCGGCGGCAGCAGCAGCAGCAGCCTCCACAAGCCTCAGGAGTCGCCCACGCTCCCGGTGTCCACAGCTACCGACAGCAGCTACTACACCAACCAGCAACACCCGGCGGGCGGCGGCGGCGGCGCCGGTTCGCCCTACGCGCACATGGGTTCCTACCAGTACCACGCCAGCGGCCTCAACAACGTCCCGTATTCAGCCAAGAGCGGCTACGATCTGGGCTACACCGCCGCCTACACCTCTTACGCGCCCTACGGGACCAGTTCGTCCCCGGCCAACAACGAACCTGGTATGTTTAAAGTTGGCATCACGGGTGCCAAATCGGTCTAGTTACTGGGGGGAGAGGGCGGATAAAAATGTTTGGGGCGGGATCCATCTGGAGCCCTGGCCTTTCACATTGCTTGCTCCCTGCTCGCCTCGCGCCCTTTACCCTCCTAAATCTTCAATCGGCCGAGGGTCACCGGATACGTTCCTCAGGTGGTGGGACCTCAGGTAGTGGCACCAGGCAGCCACGTCAGCCGAGGTGCTTGCCTCACGGTAGCCTCATTTCCCTGCCACCTGCTGCTTCTCTCTCCAAGGTTTGCGCCGGTCTTTCTTCCCAGGAGGGGCCAGCTCCCGGGTTCGTTGGCGGCGTGGGTCAGCGCGTTGCAAAGTTGCGCCAGAACGCAGAGCAGCGTCTCCAGTAACTCGCCTCCCGGCTTAGGCAAAGCTCCACTTGACTCTCCCTGCGGGCGGGCACTCGTGGGCTCCCACGGTTGCATATTTCTCACGATTCCATTTCATTGCAGAGAAGGAAGACCTCGAGCCTGAAATCCGGATAGTAAACGGGAAGCCAAAGAAAGTCCGGAAACCTCGAACCATCTACTCCAGTTTCCAGCTGGCGGCTCTTCAGCGGCGTTTCCAAAAGACTCAGTACCTGGCACTTCCCGAGCGAGCTGAGCTGGCGGCGTCCCTGGGCCTCACCCAGACTCAGGTGAGGGTTCACGGCCTGGGAGGCATGAGGAGGGCACTGGCCTGCGATGGCCGGGAAGCAGGCAGGTTGAGGACTATGGTTTTTTTAAGTAATTTTAAGGATTTCGAGGCCGCGCCTTGGACAGCCTAACCTTTTACGCCCGAAGCTGAAATCCCCCAGGTGATGTGATGGAAGGGAAGTGCCAATGTGGGCAGAAATCCCGTGCCAAGTTGTCCTTCTGCGCACTGCTGATTAAGCGGGTACAACATTCGGCCCTCCTGACCCCCTCCGCGGTCACTATCAGTGCACACACATCGGCTGTCTCGGTTTGTTATTGTTATTGTTTTGAGAATACCGCTCCTAGGAACTGACATAGCCTCCGAGGCCGCAGCACGTGATCCCGTTACCTGCCCAGGCTAACAACCCACCCCGCGCCCCTTAGCGGCGGTCTTCCTAAGTTTCCTCCCTTCCCCTATCCCAGGCCGAGTTTCCTCCACTAATGTCAGGTCCCTTTTCCACAAAGGTCAAAATCTGGTTCCAGAACCGCCGATCCAAGTTCAAGAAGATGTGGAAAAGCGGTGAGATCCCTTCAGAGCAGCACCCGGGGGCCAGCGCTTCGCCACCTTGTGCTTCGCCGCCGGCCTCGGCGCCGGCCTCCTGGGACTTCGGCGCGCCGCAGCGGATGGGGGGCGGCGGCGGCGGCGGCCCGGGCAGCGGCGGCAGCGGGGCGGGCAGCTCCGGCTCCAGCCCGAGCAGCGCGGCCTCGGCGTTCCTGGGCAACTACCCGTGGTACCATCAGGCCTCCGGCTCCGCTTCGCACCTGCAGGCCGCCGCGCCGCTGCTGCACCCGACGCAAACCCCGCAACCTCACCACCACCATCACCACCACCACGGTGGCGGCGGGGGCGCCCCGGTGAGCGCCGGGACGATCTTCTAACCCTCGGAGACCGCGCCAGAGACTGAGTGCAGAGACCAGTTATCCTCACTGCTCGTCCCCAGAGCCAGAGGGTCCTTCCGTCCGGCCCGAGGATGCCACCCGCCGCTCGCGGAGGTGGCGGCCCGAGATGGCCTGCCCCCAGGCCCTGATACCCTCGGGGACTGGAAGGCGTGTTCTCGCGCGCCGGGCTCCTCGGCGAGAAACCCGGCATCCGCGAGAGAAACCCTGCCACGGCGGCCTTGCCGACCCGAGCCCCGCCTCAGTCTAGCTTCCCCTCCCCTCCCCGCCCGGCGAGGCAGCCCGGCGCCGTTTTCGCCGCGGGCCGCGAGCTGAGTCCCGGAGAGGGACGCCTCCCCCGCCCGAGAGGCTGCCCCGGCCCTGTGAGGCTCCTTTCTCCTCGCCCGCCCCCAGGCTCAGCTCCTGTCCACTGGGGTTATTGACCTCCCGGGTCCTGCCTGCCTGCCCAACCCCCCCCCCCCAGCCCCCTTGACCCCGACGGCCTGCCGCTTTTTTTTCTGCCCAGCTGTTGCCAGCACTTGGAGCCCGAGTCCCTCCCCCGACTTAGCTCTCCTCCCAGGAACGCTCCCCTCCCTCCCTCAGCTCTCTCCTCATCCTTCACCTTGGAGTTTTTTTATTTTTATTTTTTTAAAAGTTTAGGTGCCTTTGCGGATGACCTCATTTTGATGTTGGGGAAAAACGATTTTTTAATATGTGGACACTGCAAAAAAAATGTGTTTAAATTATCTTTTTTAAAACCTATTCAGGATTATTAGCCTGGACTTGGACATAGCGTTTGTAAATAAATGTGTCTGTGCAGATTTTCCCACTGATTTATTCGTATAAACATACTCATCTTTTCATTTTTTTGTAAACCCCCACTTGTGAAAACTGCTGTTTAGCAGTGACCTCAGCACACCTCCGTTTTCTTTTTCCCTTGAAAGATTTTCTCAGTTTAAGCTACTGATTTGGATTTATCTTTTCCTAAAGTCTTTGTCCTTGAAATGAAAGGTATTTTGGGGTTATTTATTATGAAAACAACATGCTCTTAATGTTGATTTTACAATATGAAGAGATTATTTAAATAAATTATTGTTTTCATTGGATGTGAGCACTTTTTCCTTGGTGTCACAACCTAGAAGCTCGAGCTGCCGCCCGGGGGGAACTGGGTGGGTCAAGAGTGACAGTGGCATTTACATCCATCCGAGGCTGCGAGCTGCGGTGAGGTGCGGCGGGGCGAGGACAGGCGCACTCAGCGCTGGGCCGCCGCGAGGGTTCCCGCTCTGCCCGCATGCGAGTCCCGGCTCGAGGTTCGCCAGCTCTCGGCGCGGTGACTCACTCAGCGCCGGGTGGCTCCAGCCTCCACCCGCCCGGCCCCTCCGGCGCCGGCGCCAGCGCCACAGCCCCGCGTCTGGGCGGTCTCAGCCGCCCCCGCGCCCGCGGTGCCGGCCAGGCGCTACACTCAGGCCGCCGCCGCGGGGAGCCTGCCGAAGCCGGGTCAGACCCCCTACTTCCGACCCTCCCGTCCGTTTGCCCTGCAGCTCTTCTGGGGCTGACCGACTGGAGAACTCAGTGAGTCACCCAGGCTCTCAGGAGACTGGGAATGCGGGGCCACCACGGGCACACAGGGCTCCGCTAGCACACACGCAGCACACGCAGTCACACACTGTGACTCTCACAAGCACATCCATACTATCACATACGAATCACGAATCACGCCGACACAAATTCATGCACGTTCCCACGGAGACCGATGCAAATTGCTGTGGAATCGGCACTATCCACAGATGCTCCACCTCACCATCTCGGACAGGTAAGGTCCAAACGTGATTCAGCTCTGCTTTCCAACTTGGGTCCCACACAGCTACTGTCCAGCTTTGGAAGTAACCCTAATTCCTGGCATTCCCTTCAACGGCCAGGGGTAGGTGTGTAATGCAGACCTAAAAGTCTGCAGAATTACAAGTTTGTTTTGTTTTTCCTTGAAAGCACTAAGGCCTACACTTGGAAAATTCTTGACTTCAATCACCGGGTGACTTTAGGCTACCCACTTAAACTTCCGTGCTTTTTGCAGATCTATGAGATGAAATAGATAATAGCTATGTCAGAGTTGTGAGCATTTAACCAGGCAATGATGTAACACAGTGTGTGGCACATGGTCAACGCTCAATAAAATTTTGCTTAGCAGTATAGTAGTATATGGGCTTCCCAGGTGGCGCCAGTGGTAAAGAATCCACCTGCCAATGCAGGAGTTGTAACAGAGGTGAGTTCAATCTCTGGATAGGGAAGATCCCCTGGAGGAGGGCATGGCAACTCACTCCCGTATTGTTGCCTGGAGAATCCCATGGAGAGAGGAGCCTGGCAGGCTATAGTCCATAGGATTGCAGAGAGTCAGACACGACTGAAACGACTTCGCACAGCACAGCATAGTTTTACCCCAATGCCTCCAAACAGTGAGGTTTTACTTTTGCCTGCAATTATGAGGTCCAGAGTTTTACCCAGAGTCCTTTCCAACTTCACCTTGTGTGGGAGAACTGCATTCTAGGGCTTCGAGAGCTCTGGCCCCTTCCTATATGAGAACCTGAACCTTAGCCATCCCCTCTGAAGCGGTCAGTGTCTACTGGAGAGGAGGCTGGGGGCGAGTCAGACAGCCCTCCTCGCCAGATTCAGGCCTCCTCTCTGCGAGGCCATCCTTGTTGTGTGTCCCCAACTAATCTCTGCCAAAAAACAAACGTGGGACAAGGGTGACCTTCTAGGCATCCCTGAGAAGAATCTTGACTTTTCTGACCAGATTGATTTGAGGCCTGCATCGAATCTGATTTACAACAGAGCATGGTCCACGGAGCTGGGGCTCTGGGGGAAGGGAGGGAGGCTACTCAGTCAAGTGTCCGTTTGCATTCCTGCATTGTTTTTCTGGGCTGGGAAGCCCGAGATGAAGCTCATTGACCCCACGATTCTGACTTCCCTAAGCAGTCGGCGCCTAGCAGACCCCCATTCCTGCTACCCTCCCTCCCCCCGCCCCCCACCGCCACATTCTGTGGCTTTCTTTGAGTGCCAGTAGCTGGTGCCAGCCTTCTTTCTGCGGTTGACTATGCCCTCCCCTCCTTTGCGCGCACTCCCCTCCCCCTCCTGAAACCAGCGAGGAGAGACGGGGCAGTAAATTGGCTGGTGTCGAGGATCTGCAGCAGACAAGATGATTAAGAGGCCTACGCCGGAGCGCCCGGGGCAGGGAATGTCAGCCCAAGTTGGAATCACGCAACAGGCCTTGGCATGAGAGAGCCTGGGAGCCGGGAGGGCGGGCGGCCCCAGCTCCGGGGTGGGCCGCGGCTCCGCAGACTCGCCGGAGTCGCCGAACCTGGCACCCGGCGGCGGCGGGGTCGGGCCGGGCCACGGCGTGCCTTTCCCCGGGAAGCCCTTGAAGCAGAGAGCAGAAGGGTGCAGGGGCCAGAGGAAGGGGGCGTTTCCGCAGACCAGGAGAAGGGCAAAGAGAAGGGAAAGCAAAGGATGCACTGGGGTCCCAGAAGTAAGGGGGCGGGGAGGAGGAGGGGTGAGTGGAGGGAGAAACAAAGAGGGTTGGGGGGAGGCGGGGGCCGGCTCCAGCCCCGCCGGGGGCGACGCGCTGGCGAGGCCTTCTCCCAGTCTCGCGGCCCGCCGGGAGACGCGGAGCCCTGTGATCAGCCCGCCGCCGCGCAGACAGGCTCCCCACCCCCCCCAACACCCCCCCCCCGCCCCCGACTGCGCTCCCCAAAGCGCGAATGAAAAATGGAAATGGGAAGTGGCGATCCCGGCTCCCTACACTGGGAAACCAGCCCCGCTCGAAACACACATAAATCTTCATTGTAATCCCCTTCCATTTGCTCTCGTGAAATATCAGGCCAGAGACAGGATATGACAAGCGCTGGGAAGCAGGGGGAGGAAAGCCGAAGAGTGAGGGGTGCCCGATGCCCTCCGCTACACACACACACCCGGCAGGGTCTCTCGGAACTCCGGCCGAGCACGGGCACTGCTTTCCAACTCCCGCTGCAGGCACTCCGGGCGCTCCTGTGAGTCCCCTGCTCCTCGCATCCCCCCGCCACCTCTGCCAACAACCACCCCCCCCCCCGCCAAGCTGTGCCCTGCACGCGCCCCGCCGCGGGCCACCCCGCCCCGGATGCTTCTCGGGTGTAGACACACACCCCACAAACTGCCCCAAATTCCCGCCGCTCCCAGGCTGGTATTGGGGGGGGAGGGGGAGGAGAGAAAGGGAACGGATCCCAGGCCTAATCAGCGCGGCTGCAATGTGGGATCGTTTAGGAGGCTTCCCCTCCGCCTTCTTTCAGGATTACTTGTGAAAATTGTGAATATCCGTCCTGTGTAAGGATTTCCGAGACTTGTGGGGCGAGTTTGGGGGAAGTATCAGGTTTGGCGGGGGCGGAGAGAGTGCTGGAAGACTAGAGTTTTGTTTACAAACAGTTCTTTCCTAGAAGGGGAGGAGGGAAGCAGGCGGAAAAGAGGGGGTAAAGAGAGGAATTAGGAAGTGGTCCGATGGTTTCCCCACTGTTCAAAGGTCCCGGGAAAGAGAATGATGTCCAGGAGCAGAAAGCCCCCTCACAGACATGTCCTTACTGACGTCCTTCTGTAAAACCCAGAAGCAACTCAGCCCTCCCCAAAACATCCCCTTCCCCGTCCCCGTCCCACGCACTCGCTGAAAAGTTTCACACGCCGGGTCTTTTCCCGTTAGGGGACAGCGACCACCAGTGCCTTGAGCCTATTTGGGGTCAGAAACCTCTTCAAGCATGAAACCACAAAATCGCTCTTCCTCCTTAAATAGTGGTCCCTTTGCATTTGACTTTGGTGTCCCCGTAAGCCGGTGGGTAGGATGCGATCCTGCAGTCTTTTTTTTTTTTTTCCCAATAAACTCTTCACTGCAGTCCCTGACTAGGGGTCGAACCCGGTCCCCTGCATTGGGAGCCGGGAGTCTTAGCCACTGGACCACCAAGGAAGCCCGATGCTGCGGTCTTGATTAC